TTGCTCGCCCAGGTAAAAGCAGACACGCTCCTCGAAGCAGTCGGCATTTCGCTACTTTTCGTACTTCGTTATTTTTGCATTCGAGCGCTAGCTATATAGCGGGTGACGATTGTAATTACGGCACTTATTTGCGAAGTGGATTAAACGAATTGAACCGCGAGTCGTTGAACACCTGGACTAATATTTTCGAGTAATATATTTTTTTTCGATCATAGATTTCCATATTTCTGAATGAATGAAAAAAAAAAAAAAAAAATGCGAAATTAATTATTTAGCCAGCAGGCATTGTCCATTATGTTCTAATTAAGGAGGACAGATAAAAAATGTAAGATCAGATAATTAATAAAAGTACCGACAGTCAGTGATAAAAAAAAATATAAAAAAAAATTAAAAAAAAAAATGAAAACCAAACCATCCATAGCGCCACCAATCTCTTCTTCGAATCAAGTAACCGTTACGATCGACCGAGTAAAAAAAAGTTATTGGCAACACTGCAAAAGTCATCGGACCACGGAAGTGAAAATAAAAAAAAATGTTTCAAGTCAGACATCAAGTGGGTCCCGAAGTCATGAACGAATTCGAATTTCCCGCCTCGTCAGAGCCGTCGAATAAAAGTCCAGCCCAGCCCGGCGCACAGAGTACGAAGCAGAGGCCCTAACCAAACCCAAGTGAACCTGACCCAGGGTAAGCTAACCGACGGCGGACCATACGTAGGTGGGACACATGAGTCACTCGTTAGTTGCTAAGCCTCGTGGCTCCACCAGTCAGTGTTATCAGTGATGGGTCTGATGATGTTCATCAGGTCCAATGATCTTGTACGATACGGGCAATATGAGTGTTCGCCAATTGCGTAGGTAAATTTTTTTCCGATCTCATCAGGACCTCAGTACGGCAACGTACCCAGCAACGTGCTTCGGGAAGCCGATGATGACCTCAGTGAGGCAGCAAGACCAAAGTGGCTGAAACGGCACAAAGACCTAGGAGCAAATTGAGGAGAGTCAAGTTAACGGGAAGAGCGTAAGAGTCGAAGGGAGTGAAAAAGTGAAAACTAGGGGAAAAAAGGTAGGAGGGTGAGAGAGAGAGGGGAAGTTTAAGGGAAAGAAGGAATAGTTATTTCGGCTTAGCGACAGCTTTTCCCACGAGCGACTAGATGGATTATTGATCGGAGTTCCTGGGACTGCGGGGATGTGGCCTGTAGCCAGGTACCAACCTGCGCATGCCGCATTAAGCTACAGATTCTCTAGCTCTCTAGCTCTCTCTCTCTCTCTCTCTCTCTCTCTCTCTCTCTCGCGCTCTCTATTCCCTCTCTCACGTCCCCTAACTTCGTCCTCCAATCCAACTCCCTTGCCTCCTAGTATTCGTCATTCCACTCTTACGTACACCCAAAGAAAGACTACAGGTCTTCGCCATTAGGTTGGTACACCTGATTCAATAGATGCACCAGACCCAACATTCTACCTGTCACTCTACTCGTCTCTCTCGTACATCCGCCTGGCATTCACCTAGTTTGCGCTGCTCCTATGACAATCAGTACCTAGAACGTACATGCCTTGGGTACCGTTCGCCCCCTTCACCCCCCTCGCCCTCATATACCCCCAGACTCATTTGCTCCAGTTATAATTACCAAGTCAGCATATATGCCTAGTCGTTTACCTAGATGCTACATTTATTCTCCACACGTCTCTCAGGGCGCCCTTATTACCTTTCGCTCGTCCTGGCTGAAGGACGTCTCCCTGTTCCATCCACTGATAACGATTGGAGGAATTTCCAGGTTGTTTATTTTAATTGAAAATTTAATAGTTAATCAGCCCCTCTCAAATTACAATTTTCGTATGTCTCTTCTGGACGAACACGTGTTCGTATGTGTGTTTTATTATCGAGATCAAAATCGTATTTACACCTCGTTACCGCTCGGTGAACTTGCGTACACGTGCCAAAGCAGGCGTGCTGTTATAATCAGAGTTTCGATTTTGTAAAATTAATTAAATTTGAATTTGGACTTTGCAAATTTTTATTGTTCATCTTTTTTTTTTTAATACGTCAAGGTCAGACCTGTGATTGGTCAGCGCACCCAAAGGTAATAGTCAATCACTATGCAATTTGGGCCTCGAGATTAGCTGTATGAAATTTACTGTTAATCGTATCAGTTATCGCGTCATCGTCGTCAATGACGTCGTCGGGTTACGAGGCGTCATCGAAATTCGTTGAACGATTGCGAAATCGAGCGCGGACTATTGTTGTCATTTAATCAAAATCAGATTGGACGATAATGACACGAGCCCTGTTTTGTTTGGGAAATAGCCAATTAAGGGAAACACGTAGACATTTCAGTGACTATCGTAGATTCGTTTATTTCATCCCTTATGGAGTCGTGAGAGTTGACGCGTTTCTATGAAAGAAAAAAGTCAAGAATCGCGAACGTTATTTCGAGGCGATGACCCGCAGACACGAGTGGAATGTGCGAAAATAGACACGCGGTATTTCGCGAGCTTTCGTGCACTTTGCCGTACTTTTACGTTACTTTAGGTGTCGTGCGATGTATATTTGAAAATTTGCGCGCTCACGCTTTTTATTCCCACCCGGTATTTAAATTTCCTGCAAAACGATATACCGAATCTATAGGTCCATACGATGTCTTCGCGATGACCTGGCAAAGACATTATCGGATATTCCAGTCGCATTTGACTCTCGGAGAAAATTCATATCCCCTTTGTCGGTTCGATCGAACGAGGATGATGTTACGTGGGGCTGAAAAATGGTCTTGAAAAATTTCAAGCGCGAAATCCAATTTTATCTTCCTCGAGTCTTAGACTCGGTGAAAAAAAAAAAAGAAAATTCTCTCAGACTCGTAAAGGAGCCGAAAGTCAACGTTGAAGACTCTTCAAAGTGACTGCGACGAGTAACCGTGAAATCGTTAGTTCCGAATTCTCCCGTCGGACGGAGCTGCCGGTTGGAAATTTAAAAAAAGTCACGGTGCATCTACTCCTGCGAATTTTCAGAGTTATGCAACACGAAGCATCGCACTTTGCACGATAACAAACAATGACCAACCCCCCACGCCTATCGGGTGCATGTGCAATGCCGCCCCAATTTGCAATATTGCCGATGATCACGTCACTCGTATCAACCGCACAGACTTGCGCCGTCGCACAAATCCAAATGCGATGTCCACGTTGACGTCGCAGTCTCGTTTTATCGTATAATGTATACAAAAAAATTTTTTTGCAAAATTTGACAGAAATTTTTTTTTTTTTATTATTTAAACCCATGAATTATTTCAGTTGTGGCAAACGACCTCGGCGTCCAAACGGCAAGTCGATTTATTCCCCTTTGAATTCCTTTCGCGACAAAACCGTCCTGGCGAGGAAGATACGTGCTGAAGGAGAGAGCGAGAGAGGAATAGTCGTGAAGAGACACCGAGGGTATAGAGAAAGGGGGAACAGGGCCGTATCTTTAAGGAAAAGCAAAGGGGGTTCCACGAAGAGCCTGACAGACTCTATAAATACAAACAGGCATTTAAGGCCTGAACTCATACGAAAGATTACGCACATGCGTGTACGTATGTACAGTTTGTGCTTTCGTTGTATATGCGTATGTATACTGTATATATATATATATATGTCAATTGCACGTGTAAAGTGACAGGCACGCACACACTGACAGGTAGATAGGCATCTAGTCTTTTATTTCATAGTCTTTGGGCAGAAGGGGCAGAGGGGTGGTTGAAAGGGTGGAGGGGGAAGAGGGGAACCAACCATTCCACGGGTACCAACCACCACCCGCTAAATTTACACGCGGCAGACGGGAAAGCCGCGGGGCTTGCGAAAACGAGAGCAAAACCGGAAACTCTTGGATGATGAACTTTTTTGCTCGGAAGTAAATCAATGACGGAATGACGAGAAAAAAGAAAATTATTGGCAACCCTATTAATTGACAAATATAATTGCCAAATAAATTATATTTGGATTTCTTGCTAAAAGCAAAATTTGTGGTTGCTTCTTAAGCATTTAATGGATCTACAAATAAGGATAAATGTTACGCGAGGGATAATAGGGGCTGTAAGATACATTGGCTGTGTTATGTACCAAGAGAAAAAATAGCTATCACATTCTTCACGGTGAAGTAAGATGACGCAAATAAGGAAATATTGATTTTTTTTTTTTTTTAATGAAAAAGAAAAAAGAACGAAGTCACGTCGAGATTTAAGGAAAATTTAACGAGAGCATGACGTAGCTAAGGGACAAGATCCATCACTGTCTGAAAATTAAATTTTTCCCCGTGAAAAGAAAAGTTTCTCGGCAAAAGTTCGGAATCGAGTGAAAGTCCCTAGGTTAGCGGCATTGGCGTAGACGCACGCGGTGCAAATAGGCCGAAGGTGCCTTAAGGTTAGCAAAGAGTCGTCGTTGCCGGTCGAATCGACAATGGCGCATTGCGGAAAGCATCGAACGACAGGTCGACACGCTCTGGCCAGTTTTCATTTTACACTGCGATCCAGTGACGTAGTCACTTCCGGTCGGAATATTGCCGTCCCACGTCGGGATAGCAAAATTGCCAAGAATTCGCAGGATGACTAAGAAATTATCCTTAGCGCGGAGGTTTAACGTGCGCTGGTGCGGGGCAATAAAGCGAGGAGGAGAGAGATTCGCAACTAGGGACATTCAGTGGTGCCAACCGTAAAAAATCAAATTTATAAGAAAATGGGTCGGTCACGTCGTGTAATTGCATTGGCGCAAGAAATTGGATGGTCGGGTTGGCAAGCCTGCTTGGCAGGTTACTAGATTCGGTTGGTAACCCCATATGCGTCAAATGTAAAAGCGTCAGGTTTGCCAACACGAAATTAAAAAAAGAGCTATTCGAGTACCGAATCGTCGTATTAGGCGTCTAGGGATATTCCCTAGAATCCTAACCTATTTCAATTGATTAGCCCGAACGCGATCATCCCCTATATTTAATCCATGTCATCTCAATGGTAATTCTACTGTTAACAGTAAAGTACTAACCCTTTGCCAGTCGATTAAGGATCAGATCCTTGTGTTGTGCTGTGTGAGGTTCCGGAAGTACCACAAGGAGGTAACATCCGCTTAGCGGTGAGGGAGGTGGATGTTGCTGTTGCTGATTAATGGAGTTGGTCATGGCCGTAGAGTGTTGCTCTGTGTTGCCAGGGACTCCCCCTCCCCCGTCCCCGGCAGGATCCATGGTACTCATACCTGGAAAATAAAAATCAACCAAAGATATTTCAAACGCGTTGGATACAAATGTTCAAGATCGAAAAAAAAAAAAAATTCAAAATTTTTTCATCCGCTGATTGGCATATTAAAAAGTAACCGTATTAAAAGACTAATTAAAACGTCAAGAGTCGTATGTCTCTCGCGGTTCATTCATCGGACATTTTTCACAACGACCGTCAGGAAATTCGATATTCTCGACCGCGAGCGATCGATTCTGTTCTACGGTTATCGAATTCAAGTTTATTTATCTTCTCTCACGTATCTGTCCGCAAACTACATAAAAGCTTATATATTAGACAAGTATTAGTTTTACGATTAATTAGTAGTCATTAGTATCGAAATTTTTTAGGAGCTTTTTGAGGTTGGGTTATTTAGAAAAATTATTATCGTATGACATTCTTTCGATGATGCTAACACTATGCGGTGGTTTGAAGTTGGCAACGGATGGATACGACGTGAAGTTATTCGTCATTGAGAAAATTTAGTATAAAAACTGTATCCGTTACCAGGGCGAGTAATCGCTGTACGAAATAAATTTCCATTAATGAAAAATTCAATCCCGCGATAGGTATGTGACTCATTGCCAACGTGGTAGATAAAACATTGCTAAGTTCACGTCAGATAAGATTGTCCTTAGTTACGTTTATAAGGTTATGTTATAGGGACTTTATTTTTTAATTGTTGCCTACAGGGATATGATTAATTATCATAGCGATTGGGATATATTAGAATATTCTTTTTTCATACTCTGCAACTTCACGTCGTTATAAACGTAATAGGACAGTCATATGCGATAAGCGCCTAGTAACCGGGAAGTGTTACTTGTTACTGTAGGTCGGATAGCGATTTTTTAGTAAAAATTTTAAACGATTTTTGATAATTATTGTTTCCCAATAGTTTCACTGGTCTTGAAGGAATTACGTCACAGTAATAATACTGAATTTCTCGCGTGACATTGACGTGGGAAATTAATTGATTATCGAGGCTCCGATTACCGACAGTGAATAATCAAAGAAATTTTTTTTTTATTAAAAACGGTAATTTAAAAAAAAAATTCGACAAATTGCTAGTAATATTTTTTAATGCTTATTTAAGACGGTACCTTAAATATCCCTAGGAACTGAACGAAAATTGAAATTGTGAAAAAAAATAAGAGATTGTTATCAGATCAATTTGAAAGACAACCGGGGGATGAGAATGAGAAATTTTTCAAAATTCAAAATTTTATTTTTCAATATTACTCGGTCGCAGTTTCAGAATATTTTCTCGCAGTTTGTTGTGTCTAGTCTTTTTTCTAGTAAGATTTTCACCAAATTTCCTCTGTAACTGAGCTCGTGCCGGGAAGAAGTACAGGAGCACCCTATTGCGCAGGATTTATCCGATCGTTTTCTCGAGGAAGACGTAGCCATTGCGCAGGATTCTGCCGGTATATAGATCCATTGATCCAAAAAGACAGAGCTCGTGAGCGAGTGAAAAAAATCGCTTTCAAATATCGTTTTTGAGTTTGGTAAATTTTTCTAGTCAGCCTGTAACGCGCTATTGAATAATTGGTCGATTTTCAAATTGTATTCAAAATTTTAATGACACTGACATTTTTGGTCTTCAATGATAAATTTATCACTACGAATCGACGAGTTAAACGTTATATCGATCTGTATCGTCTGACTGGCTCTTGGAATTCGAATGATACACGAGACAAGTTGACAAAGTAAAATTTCGATCTTGCCCCCACCCTAACATGTCACTGCAGTAAAATCCCCTAGTAACCACCCCTCCCAAACTTAACCGTGTCGAAGTCGATAAAAGCTGGCTAAGAGCATGGAAAATTAAGAAAATTTCTACCAATCATTTTACTAGTGCGACCTTAATCATTTCAAAGACCAAGATCCAGGGGATGTGACAACTTTTTGAAAAATCACCAAAAAGAGATGACGAAACGTCAAATGCATATTGTGAGATAAAAAATTAAAAAAAAAAAAAAGGAAATAAAAAAATTAATCACTCGAAAAAACGGCTTAAGATCACCAAGTCAAAATCTTAATGGCAAAGGATCACTGTGTAAGTCGGTCAAGATCGAAACTATCAGCGAAAGGAGGACGTCGAAAGATCGGTACAACGATTTGATAAATGACACGAAGAATCATCGAGCGATTGAAGGAAGATAAGAATAAATAAAAAAATTGTCTATTTAAAAATTTTCAATTTTCACAGAAGAAAAAAAGTGACAGGTACGTAAGTAACGTTACAAATTACGTACATTGCGCCACGATAAAATGACTCACCTTATCTCGTCGCGCTTTCCAGCGTATCCCGTGTATTTGTCCTCAGGCCGTATGAGAAACGAATTGGCAGCCGAAATTCTCGAATCGAGGTAAACGCGAAGGAAGAAAAGAGAGGGTACGAGAAAGAATTCTTAGAGAGCCCACAGGGCCTCCTTCACTCTCCCGTCCTTTTTCTTCCAACCTCCTTCCGATTATCAGACTTTCGTACGGACGTAGTCAAAACGAAATGAGCACCACCACCCCCCCGTTTTTCCCCTCGACCCCCCCAAAGAAAAATAACCGTGCTCCTCACCGAAATCGAGGATAACGATAAATGACAGAACGAGCGACTTGGTATATCCTCTTTTCGAGTATTTTCAAAAACTTCTTTTATCCTTCGTTTTTTACCTTTCCCTTGCTTTTCGATATTATACTTTTCGTGTGTGTATATATATATATATATATATATATATAT